GGTGTACCCTGTCTTGCGCCCGTTGCTTGCTGGGATAGGCTCCAGCTCCCCTGCAGCCTTGAATTGGACGACGCAGTTAGAACATGGATGGATGTTAAAATGTACTCGTGCCCTGCTGAGCTGGAGAGCAGAGGGGCGCGTGCGTCCAAGGGAACTAACCCCTTCCTGTCCCCGCCAGGCTTACCACATCACCAATGACGAGCCGGTGCGGTTCTGGGAGTTCCTGTCTCGGCTCTTGGTGGGGCTGGGCTATGAGGCTCCGCGCTACCACCTGCCTTACCGCCTGGTGTACGGCCTGGCCCTGCTGCTGTGGCTGCTGGCCGTGCTCTTGCGCCCCCTGCTGACCTTCCGGCCCACCTTCACCCCCATGCGGGTGGCGCTGGCCGGCACGCACCACTACTACAGCTGCGCCCGAGCCAAGCAGGAGCTGGGCTACAGGCCGCTGGTCAGCCTGGAGGAGGCCATCACGCAGACCGTGCGGAGCTACCCTCACCTGCGGCTGGGGGCCTGAGCCTCCTGCTGACCAGGCCGCGCTCTCAGCCCAGGCTGGGCCGTGGGGATCAGGGCTTCTGCGGATGAGACGTGAGCGTTGGATCACTGTGAGCACAGTCCTGAATACACCTCAAACGACACAGTCTGGGCGATCAGCAGCAGCAGTTTGAATTCCTGAGTTGGCCGATGTCGTTGGCTTACTTTGCTCTGTGCGCAGAAGATACAAGAGCTCAGTGCCACTCAGCTCTCCTCGCAGCTCCACTAAAGCATTTCTAACAATCAGACATCACATCGGGAGGTGAAAAAATCATTTATTTTCCCCTTAATTAAGAATGACCGTTTTTTCTGTTATAATTTCTAACTTTTCTAAGCAGTGTCACCCACATTGTGACTGCAGGATTATCTCAGTATGCCTGTGTATTTACAAAGGCTCTGTCTTTGTATTAATTACTGAATAAACACTGAAAACCGTAATGACCACCGTCATTCCTTATTTGCCCCTAAGCATGAGCAGTGGGCTGGTCCTCACAGGGAGTAGTTTTGTGATGGAAATATTAGAAAACTCTTGATCAGCCCCGCGAGTGCACGGAAAGAGGGAGATCTAGTGTAACTCTTAGCAGAGGAGCAGTAGGTGTTGGGGGGGGGTTGATGAGCTCGTCACGGGGCTCATTCTCTAATTGCCTCCACGCTGGTCTTTCAGAGCACAGACCCTGTCCTTTGGCTCACTGCAGGAGCCAGAACCAGCCGGCGAGCTTGTCGGACAGGTCTGGCGCTGTGTGCTGCAGGGAGAGATGGAGAGAAACGGAGAACTGACGGGGGCAGGGGATCTGAGAGTAATCGGAGTTGAGAGATTCCTAATTGTTTTTAAGGAGTCGGGGAGAGGGATTTTACATCGCCTTGGTTGGACTTGTGTGTGTGTGTTTTTTTAAAAAATGACAATGTGGTGGAACAGGATTCCGAATAAAAAACAAAACAAATTCCGAGCCAAGTCCGCCGTTACTCTGAACACCTGGAGGGCCACGGGGGGGAGGGGTTTGCTGTGGAGTGGAGACCGCGGGGCCGGTGGGGCTGTTTGCCGACATTCCTGACCCTGGAGGCAGCTCCCACGGTGCCGAGGGTGTGTGCAGGGGTGGCCGTACGACGTAATTCACGTCGCCGCTCTGAACTGCGAATTCGTCTTCGTAACGGCGAAGGCAAAAAAAAAAAAGAAATACTTTTTTTTTGTGGCAAACGTCATGTGGGTTTCACCGCTTAGACTCAGAAGGTGAGTAAGGGCCCTGCCTTGTTTTGACTGACACACAGCTGAGACTGGTGAGGTGTGCCCGACTCACCTTCATTGCATGCAAAGAACGGGAATGAGTATTTCTTGTGTTTCATTTCCACAATGCGTGCGTGTTTATTTCAGGTGACTGAACTCACCGAAGACACTTTTCCAGCTTTAACAACATGGCTGGGGAATTTACTCCATATAATCCCTCTACCCTTTGTGTAAAGACCTTATAGTACACTAAAATGAAAATTCACGGAATTTGTTTCACTTCCTGTGTTGTTATATCAAATCGCTTTTGCAAACTTATTTTTTTCTGGAGCATTGTTTCTTTATTAAAAGATTCTGAGGTCCATGTTTTGAAGACCAGTACTAAGCTCTGTGGCTAAGGATCTGCGCCTGTGACTGGAAGGTTGCCGGTTCAAATCCCGCGGCTGGCAGAGGAATCCTACTCCGTTGGGCCCCTGAGCAAGGCCCTTGACCCTAACTGCTCCAGGGGCGCCGTACAATGGCAGACCCTGCGCTCTGACCCCAAGCTTCTCTCCCTATCTGTGTGTCTGTGTCTCCATGGAGAAAAGCTGGGGTATGCGAAAAGACGAATTCCTAATGCAAGAAATTGTATAGGGCTAATAAAGAAACATTAAAAACATTAATGGCAACTTCACACATCACTGTCTGTTGCTCACCTGGGGAGTGAGGGACTGTCAGGGACAATATAGAGTCAGTGAGGTACAGAATATAGTGCTCTGGTGTCTGAAAGCCACAAACCTTGAATGTCTCCTCTCAGAGCCAGAGGAGACTAGAAATGAAGAGTCACTGTCTTGGAGAAGGAAAGGACTGGTGTTTTATCATCATAATTATTAACAGCATGCATGTGGAATATTTTGAATTCTTGGCATTGCTATATTTTATCATAACAACAATGCCAATTGCTTAAGCCAAAATGCTAAAGCCAGGAGTAACACCCTCAGAAAGAATCTGTGTGCAGGACATCAGCAATACCTGATCAAGGCACCGAAACCACAGTATCCTGCTTCCTTTATTAGTTTTCTCAATCTCTGTATGTCCTGGCCCTGTCAGCTTCCCAATGGAATTACAGGAATGTCCCCCACCCCTTTGAGTTGAATCGAATCACAAACAAGCAGTCAGTCAGGCTGGACAGCATGGCCACACCCCTTTGGCTCATGACCCCACCCTCATGGCTCCCGGCCCCGCCCACCGCCAGCTCTGGGAAGGAGAAGGGGGAGGAGACTCACGGCAGTGCTGGAGTACCTGACAGGCTGAGCCTGTCAGTGTTGACACCTGTACCTGCGGACACACCTGCAGACTGCGGGAGGCACCTGCCCCAGCTGAGAGGGTTCGTTTCAGAGAGTCACACACTGGGCTACACTGAAATAAGAAAGGAGCGCGTGTTCCCAAGGACTGCACTCAGACAGGTTAGCTCTGTGCTTCTTTGCTTTCTTCCACTGTGCCAGCTGCCCAGGGGCAGGCAGGGGCTGGTGTTTGGAGAGCTTGAGTGGGCTCCAGCGTTCCTCGAAGCCGAGATATTTGGTAGTTGTTGGTGCGTGCCCTGAGAGACAGGTGCGGCAGGGCTGAGGTGAGTCAGGTGGGAGGACTGAGCAGAGGAGTGAGAGAGAGAGGCAGCCGAACAGGTCTGTCTGCGCGGGTGTTTGAGGGTGGGTCGGAGAAGTTTCCCAGCGATCCCCTCCCTGCTCCTTGTGTCCGGTCGCGGGAGTGTTCTCTGGGTTTGGATTTTGAATACGGAGAGTGGAGAGTTTGGCCCCCCAAATCTGCCATTCAGGGTCTTCTATAGCTGCTCCTGCTGTTTTTCCGCCAGCCCAGTGCTTCGAGTCCAGGGATGGGTCCCTAGGATTCGGGGTGGAAACAGGCCACTGGGGGTCCTGTCAATGGATGGTTCTTCTCTGCCTGAACGAGTTTGAATGTGCTCGTGCTTCAGCTGTCTGTGGATGGTGGCTCCCCGAAAGATAAAGATTGTAACCCTAGTTGGGGATTGATTTAAGGGGGGTAATGCGTTATGATTCAGTAGGACTAGGGGATTGGGTCCTGAGGAGATGTCAGGGTCTCTGGTTCACCCCCAGGATAGACTGCAGCTATCCTGCGAGGAGTCCTCTCTGTGCCAGCTGGGGCGCTGTGTGACACCCCTCTGCAGGCTGTTCGTGGCGGCGCCCGCAGGAAACTGGGGGTATGGCCCCGTCCCTCAGCGTCTGCACTCCAGCAGGGGGCCGCGGTTTTGCTCATCGGCTTTGTGAGAGAGAGGTGGTGCGACAGCAGAGAGATGGGACCCGCTGCTGGGAAGGCAGAGAGACGGGTTAGGGCACAGGAGGAAGGTGTTCCTGTCAGACTCCATTCTTTCCCATTACTTTAATTACTGTGAAATCCCCAGAGCTGAAGGATGAAGACAAGACCCACCTGAAAGAGAAGATAAGTCCCATCAATGCGTGTTGGAGTTTTATTTCGCGATCCTGGCAGTACAGAGCAGGCTGGGGCAATGCCCCTGAGGGCAGGCTGTTGGAATACCCCACAGCTGTTCAGGGGGTGTGCGGGAGACAGGAACTGACTCGTCACCTCTCAGTCTCAGTCTTCCCTTGTAGAAGCAGGGCACCGCATGCTTGCACCGTAACCTGTTAGCGCCAGTCTGGCTGGCATTGCACAATAGCTGGGCTGCTTCCCTTTCTACACAAGCTGTTGTGTGGCTGCTGATTTTGTTGCCTTGCGCCACGGCCCAGGCAGTTTGCCTGAACATTGTATGTAAATCACTGTCGGTGTCTCTTTAGTCTCAAACTCTGGCGACGAGCACCTAGACACTCCCTCGTGGAAACCGAAGACACTGCCTGCTGGCAGACAGTTTAATGTGCAGGGACAGTGCTCAAACAGCACAGCCGAATTAGGCTTCTCTCACTCCAAACGGGCGCCGACTTGTTTATTGGGAACCGAGCCTGGGGAAGTGTACTGTTGTGAGTTCTCACAGTAATTCAGTCTCTCCCTCTGCTAGCCACTAAACTTCAACTGGGCTTTCAGGATATATCCTCATCCTGCATTGTTATTACCTCTTCATTGCTACCAAGTTTGATTCCTCTCTACAGTGGTGCCAGCAAGATCTACCAGAGTGTACGTCTGCAAAGCCTTGCAGGAAATTATGGGCTGGTTAAGGGATTTGGTCCTCTGAGGTTTTTAAGAACAGAAAAGTACAAACAAGAGGAGGCCATTTGGATCATCTAGTCCATCTTTTTAGTTACTAATTCAATGATACAAGGACTTCATCTTGAAAGACACCAAGGTATCAGTTTCTGGGTGTATAGAGCTACATAGCTCTTTCTATATTCTCACAACCCTTTGGGTATAGAAGTGCCTTGTATTCTGTTTTAATTGCACTTCCACATAGTTGCCACTTACCCCTTCAGTGCCTAAGGGCAATGTCACCAGGTCACAGGCTGTGAATTTCCTCACTGTTAAAGGTGTGGCATGACGCAGTCTCTGTCCCTGTGCAAACCTGACAGCAGGCTCTGCCTATGCAAAACCTCCCGATAAGTCACCCATGCCAAGATCCCTGTACACCCTCCATTCAAATCACCTGCCTCTGGCTCATTGCACCTGAAGTGTATGGAGTCATTTAAAATGGATTGTCCACCATTGTAGCTTGTAAGGAAGTGCCCAGAGTAGGGCCAAGCCTTGGGTGAGGGGGTGGTTATCCTAAAGATCCAGATTAACATACTCCCCAGCTCACCCCATGTTCTACCTGCTGTACAAGCATCTACATCGGGCCCTGCACAGTACACAAACTCAAAGTTGATGCGTACCACTGTGTTTGTGCATGCTCCACTTTGTGCTTGGTGCTTTATCCTCATCTTTTTCCCATGGGGCATAGCTCTGTCCACAGTTTCCGTGGGTGTTGGCAAGGGCATCTCTGTGAATTCGGATGCTGCAGCTCAAGATAGGATCTGGTTGATGACAGAGGAAGAGAGGGGAAAGAGGTGGACAGGTACAAGTGGATAAAGGAACAGGAAGGAAGGGATAGAGGGCGGCAGATTTATTGCAATATGCTACAGGTGTATGTGTGTGAGGGTGTGCAGGGGTGTTGTGAGTTCCTTCCCACAGAATGTGGCCAGACTGGCTGGTCAGCATATCTGGAATACTGTGATTCTGGGGAATGCAGAACATATTTCTCCAGTGGCGACACTATCAGTCGGAAGATCAGGGTGTGTACCTGATGGCTTTCCAGCCCTCCTGCTCTGTACAGAGGACCTCTTACTGCTCAGCTTTTCAACATCTCACCCTGGATTCTTGCCCTTCTCCTGATGTGAAAGTCCAGCACAGGGCTGAATGATAAAGCGCAGAGACCCTGTGAGGAATTGTGCCAAAACAAGGGGCTGATAGATGTGTAGCACAAGCATGGGACAACCATGGTCAACTGTATAACCATACAAAGCTATTACTATCAATTACTCCAGGATCCTGGCTTCGACTTTATTGTGGGGTGCCTGTCCTGTGGAGTCTTCCACAGTCCATTTGATCATATGTTCATGTTTTTTTGGGGTGCGCTGCTTTCCTCCCACCTCCCATGAAGACTTAACGCACTAGGTTTGAATGTGCATATAAACCATCCCTCTGGTGGTGAAGAGGGGTGCAAGGGGATATCATTCTTGCTGGATGGGGGTGGGGGGCGGGGGAGGGTTGTTCCCAGTATAACCAGTTCTTGCTCTAGATATATCAGAACCAGATGATCATGATAGGCTGAGGTGTGGCCTTTCTGATGCCCTGGTGCCTGTTCTCCCTACAGTATATCCTCTCCAGTGTTCCTCTATGTGGGAACTGCTCTGTAGCTCTTCTTGGACAGTCCAGCCTTTGCTGTGATCGCACTGCCTCCTGTCTGTGTTTCCACAAGATCATTCCGATCTGCCCATGTGTAGTACTCCCAATATCAGTTTATGGGGGTTCTCCCAGTTTTCCAAGTGACATGTCCTCATGGCCCCCTCCTACTCTGTGTTGCAGCGGTTCAACTGAAGGCTTTTCGCTGATCCACAGGGACTGGCTGGTACAATGCAGAAAGGTGAGTTTCATGTCCATCGCATACCACCTGCCAGCACAAAACACAGGTTTCTCTTGTCCTAAATTACAACCCAAGACTCAGTCTTGTGGTGGAGTGGTTCTGCAGTAGCTAGCTCTGTTTCTTCACAGAACCAGGGTTCTGGGTTTGATTGGGACTTTCAGCATCTGTAGGTGTGGAGTTCACATGTTCTCCCAGTGTATGTTTGGTTATTGGCTGGACGCTCCTGTTAACTGATTCAAGAAAGATTCCGTTTTGCCACTAATCAATCTGCACAACACTGAAAGAGATAATAAATGAAGCAGGTGTCACCCCAAGTAGTTAAGAGAAAATACCACAAACCTGATTAACAACTGGTTGCTGGGAGATGAGACAGTTAATGTCATTGGCCACTATCATATTTCAAAGAGATCTTTACAACTGGAAATGTTTACAGTGATACAATAGTTTTTTACTAATACAAGTTCTTAGCTTAGGTATTAGATGACACTACCCTTAAAAATAGAGCCTATTAGTCATATCTTACATTTTACTAAGGAATATTTATCATGCAATATAGCATATGTAAAATAATACATTTATTGTAGCTCAGTGGAACTGGTAAAGGATTATAACTAAGAGAACTGAGTTTGTGTTTTTTAAGTTGCATTTTGTCACACAGTTAGACTGCCACCCCAGCTTCTGAGTGCTTTTACTCAGGCACAGATTCTTTGCATATTTGTATTGATCGTTCTGTAAAGATCATTTTCAGCTATTATATTACCATCTTTAACTTTCATTATTTCAAACATTTACTTGCACGGGCATCATAAAAATACATTCCATCACATTAGAAGATCTGGAGAATTAAGGTTGCTGGGATGCTTGTGTGTCTCTTGCGTTTGTGTCTTCAGTTGCCTGAGTCTCGTGAGTTTATCTCTGTTAACCTCTGTGTGTGCCTGCGTCTTTTGAATTTTTGTGTGCCTTATGTTTGTGTGTCTTCGGTGTGCCTGTGTCTCCTGAGTTTGCCTGTGTCTTGAGCACGCCGCTGTGTTTTGAGTGCCTCTGTGTCTTGTGTCTCGAGTCTGTCTGTCAGCAGGCCCATGTGTGTTTGTGTGTTAGCAGAACGCAGTGGACTGCCAACGGCAGACAGACAGGCGGTGTTAAGGACAACGAAGGTCCGTGCCACACTGAAGGGCGACCAGAGCTGGATACAGCACCGCAGCACCTCCCAGGAGCAGGAAGATGAGAAACCATGGTAACCTGGGGAGACAGGGAGAGTGAATTTAGGCACGTGGGTGAAAGTCAGTGTATCTGCATACGCTCCACATTTGAACTGTGAAACAGTGGTTTTTGGCATCTCAGCTGAGGGTCTGCTATCTTGAGTCGTCGTAAGAGTCACTTTGCCTCTGTGTGTTGCTCTGATGGCATCGTCCTCTCTGCAGGATAACAGAAGTGAGGGAACGTCGGAATAATGGAGCCTTAGCTGAGCCCACTGTCACTTCAACCCCCTCTGAAAGGTATCCAGACCGGCACTTACCTAGAACTGTAGATACAGCTGAGCAGCAATGGGCTGAATGAATGAATGAAAGCCAGGCTAGTGGAACTTGTTAACTAGATAGTACCTGAACTAGATGTTGAGAAGCAGAGAGGAAGAGGAAGGTGACTTTTGTTCCTTGTTCTCCCAACAGCCCGAGGCCAGTCTCTCCTGGATATCTGATCAGGTCAGTGTTTCTCCTGGTCTTGCATTGTCTTGTTTGTAATAAGGCTGACAGACCCACTGTGCGACAGCATATTTAAAAAAAAAATAGTAGTCATTAAAAAATATTCCCACACTACTAAAATAGCATCATCAGAGCTTTGAACTCTAACTGCGGCTGGAAACAAGAAGGCTAATTGAAACTCAAGAGGTAGCTCACTTTTTTCTCATGAGCAGTTAAGTTCCTGTCCCTTAATGCTCAGTCTGCACAAAACCGGATGTCTGCTCAACCAGTCACATCGCTTGTTTTGGGTACAGAATTGCTGCTAGACTGTACACATCTGCAGTCCACAGTGCTGTACCACAAGGTTCAGCATTCAGGAGCTTCAGAGTGAAATGATTCTGTTGTGGCAATGCTGTACACATGGACGGACAGGTAGAAGCTAAGGGGAAGGGAATTTAAGGCTGAGAACAGGTGGCACTTTACACAAAGGGTGGAGGACCTACCCAGCTGGTGCCCTGACCTCGGTCAAGAAACACCTGGATGAGACACCTAGGCCAAACATGCTGGATAGCCCAAGTGGAAAACCTTCCTTATCGTTTTGTTCCTGTCCTGTCTCGTTTTTTTAAGAGGGGTTTTCACAAAAACGGATTCCCAGAAGGACCCATCGTCCTCCAGCGCTAACAGCCACGGCTCCAGGTCAGCTGACCACACTGCGCCAGGGTACTGGGGTCTGGGAGTGGGAGGGTCAGGCAGGGCCAGACTGAGGGACATCCTGCTTCCTTCCTGAGAGTTGGCCATGGAGCACTTGCCCGGCTTTTCTGTAGTTACCCTATGAGTATGCTGTTCACATCATCCATTTTTCTACTATTTCCATGGCTCTTTTGTGGTTTAATGTATCCTTCTGTTGGTGGCTACGAACCACATCAAGCCTTCCTGAAGCCACCTAGGGAACTGGTGTCATCAGGGTCAAAGGTCATCATGTGTCACCCGTCAGGGTGGTGTGTAGACAGACGTCAGTCCCGCCATTGAAAGGTATGGAGCATGTGGAAGGATTGACCCCGTTCATCATGTCTCTGTGTCTCAACAGCGCCGATATCCCCAAGAGCAAATTTGTGCCTGTCACCAAGAAGTCCACAGACGATTACAAGAAAATGTGAGTGCTGTCCCAGACCTCACTCCCTCCCCCTTCCTCTTTTCGTTCCTCTCACTCACAGCCTCCTCCTATAAAGACTGGTGTCAGGCTGTGTTTTACACCATGGCAGCGCACTGTGTGTCGGGGGTGACTGTGTGATTTTGGATGTGTACGTGGAGTGCACAGGTGTGACAGCTGTGTGCCTTGTTTCAGAGCTCCTCACGGTGTGCGACATCAGTTGTCTGGCGCCACCCAGGACGAGCCCACAGTGTCCCCTGAGGAGCACAGCAAAAGGTGAGGCAAGCCTGTGGGGTTAGCCAACACGTCTTTGTCTATGGTGCAGCTAGTCGAGAGGTCAAAGGTCAAAGAGCTCTACTGGCCTGAGGTCATTGTGAAATAGTAGGGTCAAAGGTCAGGGATGACCTTAGCTGCTGATGAATAATGGGCTGGCATTATTATTGTAGTTTATTTACCCCCTGAATAACCCTCTTCCTACACACCCCATCCTCCTTTCTCCTTCTGCTCTCTGCTGCCTTTCTCACCCCTCACCATCCGTCTGTCTCCGCAGGACAGAGGCTGCCAGCAGCGTCCTGCGCACCTCGGGCACCAAGCAGCGCTCTTACGTCCTGTCAGCCGCCAAGAAATACGAGTGAGTCCGTGTGCCTGCCTGTCCGTACTGCGTGCACACACTGGAGGTGCAGGGGGTATAGTGGTTAAAACTCTGGACTCTTGACTGGGAGGACAGGAGTTCAGATCCCAGCTGGAGATGCTACTGTCGTCCCTTGAGCATTGTATAGCCCTCAAATTTGTTCCCAGCTGTATGAATGGGCAGCAGAATTGTTATTTCATAAATCAGATGCAATCTCAGTAAGCTTTAAAAAAACAAACAACCCTAAAAGTGTGTTGTCTTGACAGATTGTTATAAACTTCATCTCTCACTCATCTGTCTGGTCCTTATTCCCTTTCAGGAGTATTGAAAAAACACAAAGCTCGGATGTACAGCCAGCTCTTTCTTTCAAGGCTAAAAGGTGAGGTTTTATTGTGCTGAAGGTCATCTTCTGAAAATGTACAGAATATTCAGTAGCAATGGTGTTTAGTGTAACATTTTCTTTTTACCAGGCTAAGTCAGCTAATCACTGGCTACCCTTTGTAGCTGTTTGTCCTGTCATTTATTGGCAAAACAGAATATTGCTAAATGGAGGAGTGTTAAACGTGTTTCTGCCGTGTTTTATGTTCCACATATTGTTGCTCTCATTAAAGAACCTGTTCTGCAGGTGGCTAGTGCACCTGTTTTATTAGAGTCTGATACCTGATCCCTGTTTATTTTTGCTTAATGAGGATTCATGGAAAGGTTTGAGTGCAGTGCAAAGTAAAATGTGACTGGCAGGTTTAACAACTGCATGAAAATGAGTGTCATGCTCTAAACTAAACCAATTATGGTAACAATGCTTTGCTGGCTGATTGGGTTCAGGGACATCGTTAATGTTGAGTGAACAGCTGCTAGATTAAATGGCGCAGATTCATGTCACGTATGTATCATGTGTGTGTAACCAGGGTGGAGTTTAACGATGAGGATGAGCGATCCAAGAGCCCCGAAGGCAGCACCCGGCCGATCGCCCCTGTCCCTGAGCCCCAAAAGACACCCCCTGTTCCCCAGCCAAAGTGAGTCTCCAAGAACCACACCTCTCTCTGCTCTCTTTTGCCTTCCTCCTTCTCTTTGCTTACTTCCTCACTTCCTCCTTCTAGAATCACGTCCAGCTAACCTGTGTGTCTTTGGCGGGTTTATTGCCAGCAGCCATATCACCCTGCAACTCACAGCTGCAAATTCACTCACTTTGCTCCAGTTCAGTGATGGGGACACACTGTTGTAGAGAAGACACTGTCCTTCAGATGAGACATACAACCGAGGTCCTGACTCTCTGTGGTCATTAGAAATCCCAAGGTGTTTCTAGAAAAGAGTAGGGGTGTTACCCCGGTGTCCTGGCTGAATTTCCCATTGGCCCCTACCAATTGTGGCCTCCTAATAACCCCCATCTCTGAACTGGCTTCATCACTTTGTTCTCCTTCCCACTGAGAGCTGGTGTGTGGGGAGTGTACTGGTGCACTCTGGCTGCTGTTGCATCATCCAGGTGAAGCCACACACTGGTGGTGGTGGACGGGAGTCCCCATTACCTGTAAAGCGCTTTGAGTGGAGTGTCCAGAAAAATGCTATATAAGTGTAAGGAATTGTTATTAATTATTATAATTCCATATGCCCGACCTGTATATCCTGTATCACACTAGTTTAAATACCCACCCACTGTGAGTCTGTGGCAGGCTGATCCTCATTGTGCGTCCTCACATCTGGACAGCAGGGTGGAGCAGTGGTCAGGGTTCTGGACTTGTATCTAGAAGGTTATGAGGCCAGATCCCAGGTGGACACTGCTGTTGTAGCCTTGAGCAAGGTACCTCATCCAGATTGTTCCAGTAAAATGTAAGTTGCCTTTACCAGGTTGCTATCAGTCATAAATCATCAAGATATTAATATAAATCTCTATAAATCTCTCTGTAGCATGCAGCAGCAGCCTGCTCCCGGCCCGCTTAGCAAGACCAGGTATGCTGAAATGGGTTAGGCATAGGGGGAGATTATAGTGAAGGATGGGTTAGGGTGGGGAAGATCCTGGCTCAGCAGATCCAGTAGGAGTAGGGATAGATTGAAGAATTGTAACCTTGTTTCCAGGTCATGGGTGGGTTACGATTAGAGTCACAGAGGGTGTTTTTATAAAAGAGGAGTACCTTTTCCGATAAGAAGAATTTAAAAAATGTGCTCATCTCTTACCAACCTATTCGGACCATTCGAATAGATGCTTTTAAGACTTTCTAGCTCCTCTGCCTACTTCTTTCTGTGCTTGTACATTGGACATTGGCCTTTCTTCTCTCTTTATTAGTTCCACAGCCACCAAAGCAGGGCTGGACAGTCCACTGAAGACAGAGGGGGTATCTCCAGGGGTAAACCAGAAGAGGTACAATCTGGCTGCGGTCCTGAAGTCATGGGCTTTAAACAGTCGTGAGAGGATTAAAACCCTTCTGACGCTGGGTTCCCATGAAGAGTTATATTTCTTCTCAATCAGTGTAGACAAATAGGGAGTGCGTAGCCTGGATGCCCTTGCTCAAGGCTGTCTCTGACCATTATATGTTGGAAATGGACAAAATTATTACAATATGTTATAATATTTAAAAAAACAGAGCTCTTGAGAAATGGATTCTAAGACAGTGCAGACAAATCGAATAAGGACAATAATACCAAGAGGAGTTCACTACTGTCTTTGAGAGTGTGTGTGGTTTTATAACTGCCCCCTAGAGTCTCACACAACTAGAGTGAGAAAAGAGATCAGTGCTATAAGAAGGCATGAAGAAATAAAAAAACGCGAAATTAAACTCTGTCCTAGAAACCAGCATCATAAGGGATTTTAATCCTCATGGCAATTTACACAGGATAGAAGCTGTTTTAGGGCAAAATTCACTTTACTGAGCTTGAGTCCAATTTAGTCCAGTCCTGTATTTAAGATACACAGGACAACACAAATGGAGAAATGGATCAGAGCTATTAGGAAGCTGAGCGCTGATTGATTGTACTGTGCATTTGTATATAACTGTATATATGCAGTATGTGTGGCTAGGGGCAGGAGTTGTCATTTCTTGTCATTTAGTGAGGGTGTTTTCATCCTCTTTGTGTCTCTGTCCCTGTGCAGCTCTCAGGTGGTCAGTGACAAGGCCCCAGCTCCCAGGAACGACTTTGACAATGTGGATCTGGCCTCTCTCATCTCAGACAAGTACGTGCTTGTGTGCTCCTTGCTCCTTGCTTTGTGGGGCAGGTGTGTGGTGAACAGCAGGGGGTGTCGGAGTCCTGCTGCCCATGTGTATGTGGATAGTTAGAGCTAGGAGGGTTAATGACAGCTTGCACATTAATGAAGATCTTTGCCACAGGCTGGCATCCATGCTTTCCTGCCATTCTGTTTAATCTCTGTCTTTCTCCCCTGTAGGACGGATGAGGCTCTGGTGAAGCCTGTTACCCCTAAAAGAGACTCATGCAAACAGGACCCTTCTCCTGTGGCTGATAGGTGGGCCGCTGGAAATGTAGGGAACATCTAAGAAGTGTGCAAAAAACACATTGTGAATATGTGTGTTATATTAGGATTATATATGGACAGAGTAACAGATTATATGTAATGCTATACAGTATATGTCACAGGGACTGCCAAAGCAGGGAGGCATAACAGGGGGCTAGAATTCACTCTCTCTCAGATAATGGGTCACACATGAGAAAACTAGGACCACTGCTTGAATTGGGCTGGTACTGTCCAGTACATTCTAACGTCATGATTTTTGCACTTTGTAATGGTTCACAGAACTGAGTAAATTCCACTCGAACTCTCCCAATTCCAATTTCAAGCATGTTCGATTCAAAACACATTTGATTATAATCCACAATACAGAGCACTTTGATATGGCTGTGCTTTTCAATCCTGCATGTTATTACCTTGAGCTGAGTTAATGAAAAATTCTCGAGCTTCAGTTCAGTCCAGGTTATTTGTCATTTGCGCAAGTGCAGTGAAATGCTGATTTGCATGTGTGCTCCAATACAAAGATAATAAGGAAACACCAAACAGCAAAGGCAACAACAACAGGTTAAGTAACATACATCTTAAATGCAAGTCAGCACAAGTAGTGTGCAAAAAAATATACAGTACTATCAGTGTGAGTCAGTAGTAGAATACAATAAAAATGGAGGTACCTGTCTTTATGCTCCTACAACGCTTACCACAAGGAAGGGGAGAGAAAAGTGAGAAGCCAGGATTGTTTCCCATCCAGTAATTTTGAAGGTCCCGAAACCAGTTTTTACTGACTTGAGTATGAGATTCAGTTTTTCCCCTATGTCGAAAGATAAATCCAGGATGAAGTGAAACAGTTTTTTGTTTAGTCCCTCGCCATACTCGGAGATTCTCTGTTCTGTTATTTTTACCTCAAGATAAACTAATAGATATTAGATAGGCATGCTTTCAACATTAAGTTATGTTAGACTTTAGGGGAAGTAGGTACTAGCATTTCTCTATTCTGCTTCAGGCACTTCCTAGGAATAACAGTGTGGGTGTCTTTGGAGCTGAGAAAGCCCAGTGGCACAGTAGCATGGTTTACAGAACACTATTTGAGTTCATCCACTTCAGAACCCTGTAATTACATGATTGCCAGTGTTCCAAGCCTTGAGAAAACTGAATTGTGATCAGTAAAGTTTTTCATCTGCTGAATTAAGTAGTTCAGAAATAGTCTTTATTTCTGTTGTTGAGCAAATTACTTGCTTTCTTAATTGATCAATAACTTACAGATGTTCAGAAACTCAAAAAAAAAGGAAATTTGAACTGTAAAACATTCTAGATTGGGGCTGTCCAGAGTTAGATTGGAGACACTGAACATTACAGACTGGAAATGTTTTGTGCCTTATATAACAGAGACCCCTGCAGCCCAGCAAGTCCTATAGCAAGTGAGATCGTGTCTTGCTACCAGAGAGTTTTCCTCTACAATAACAATTCACTCTGTCTAAGAATAAGAGCTTCCTCCCTGAACTTTTGTTCCTTGTGTGTCCTCAGCACACAGACACAGAAGCCGGCCATGGACAGCAAGACTGCAGTCACCCTAGAACAACTGGCAGCAGACGTGATCCCCATTGACACCAGCACCAAGAGGTACTGGAGAGCAGAGGGAGAGGGACACTGTGACAGACTGGGGTACAGTGTCACTGTTCAACTAGAGTAGGCTCTGAGAATGAATTTGCAATGAGGTACAATAGATGGTAGAAGATGTACAGTGTTTTGATTTTTTATTTTGTAGTCTCCTTTCTACTTCTCTTAGGTTTTTGATTCTCTGGTGACTGTTGTTTTTTATGTTTTACTGGTCTTCATTGTTGAGCAAGAGGGCTATCATCC